CAACAAACTTTCTAATATATGATCACAACTGTCGACGAGGTGCCAAAAATCACAACAAAGTCCCCAACAAACTCAATAGACTGGAATACGTTATGAGTCAGACTATAAGTAGCCAGTGCAACAGGACGTAAGAGGGACGTAAGAGTGGCAACAGCAAATGTGACAGGGTAGCAACACTAAGATTTAACCTCCTTCCACCGTGTTTTAAGACGCCCATAAAATGAAATGACAATAGCTTCATTGTATAGCGACGGTGGCTGTGGTTTCTGTGGGTTTTTTTTTTTTTTTTAGAAATGACGACTTGGTCTTGGGCGATTCCCTCTCTATAGGGTGTGAGAGTCTCCGATGCGAATAATTTTTGGATTTTCGTTTTTCTTTCTCTCTCTTTCTCCGCCTTTTTTCTTCTTGTCTCGCCTTTTCTCCCATTCTTTAGAAGACGAAACGGAGGTACACCAGACGCAAATAGCCGAAGCCAACGACTGAAACTGTCTGAAACTGTATCTATTGTGATCGAACAAAACATTTCTGACCACGTGTAGAATGCGTGTAGAGTCAACCAAACAATTCCAAAGCAATATAAACAAGGCGTAGAGAGATAAAAAAAAAAAAAAACTTTGTAAGAACGATTGGCTGACTGCTGCATGGGTACGTTTTTTTTTTTTTTTTTTTTTTTTTTTTCTCAGATCTATTTTAGTCCGAACAATTAAATAATTAAATGCAAATATGAATACCCAAGGCAACATGTAAAAAAGAATTAATACTAATAAAAAAAGATAAAAATAAATAAACAGAAAATCGGCTTGTGGATCTATTTCAAACCGAGCAATTAAATAATTAAATGCAAATATGAGTACCTGAGCTAAAAGAGAATAATAATAATTTGAAAAATAATAAAAAAATAAAAAATAAAAGAATATCGGCTTGTGGACAAAACACAAACAAAACGACACCACGATCTGTTCCCTCTTTTTATACATAATTACGGGGTCTATTCCACTCACCGGCCTCCCGTGTCCTCTCAACTCACTCTTGCTGTGATTATTCTCCTTTCTCCTGAGCTATATCAAAGGGAAATTAAATTCGACTTATGCTCTGGCTTTCGGATACATGCCCAGGAATTATCACACCCTTATCCGTTCAGCTGTGGTTAAAAGCGGCTGCAACCGACCTCTTCAAAGTATCTCTTTAAATTCGACCGCTAGTAATTTATAGGCAGATAGCTACAGGTGTGTGCGTGCGTATAAAAATATGAATAAACGCACACATACACATACAATAAAATTTATAAATGCACATACATACATATACATACATACATACATACATACATATACATACATATATATATATATATATATATATATAGATAGATAGATAGATAGATAGATATGTGTGTGTGTGTGTGTGTGTGTGTGTGTGTATCTATATGTATATATGTATATACATATATACATCAATACATATATACATATATATTTGTGTGTATATATATCTATAAATATTCCGTAGTGGGTTTGCCAGTAAGGCGGCGAATCGTTAGTATGAAGAGCCAGATAAACACCGCCATGAAGAATCTTATCTTTATTAATCAAGCAGACGTTTCGAGGGATTACATGCCTTTTTTCAACGCTGTAATTAATCCTTCTTTCTGGTTAATTACAGCATTGATAACGCATGTAATCCTTCGACACGTCTGCTTGATTAATAAAGATGAGATTCTTCACGGCCGTGTTTATCTACCTGTTCATTCTATATC